TGCACACAGAAATAGACGAAAGTCAGTAAATTAACAAGTACACCACAGATTCAACGCGCTTTCGAACGCATGCCAAAGAACGAATCCATGTGATTTATGATTTTTTCCTTGTATTAAAATATCAGAGCACACACCAGAGTTGCACTCGTCAAATTTTTTGTTTTCATCTTCTTCTTTTTTTCTTCTGCTCAACAGAAAACATACTCAACGAACAAAACAGGTTCAATCATAAATACCGTTTGTTTTATTAAAAAAATAATAATAATAATAAAATTTGTACACAACATAAGCTGCAGATTGTGTGCACGCTGTTTATTACGACAGCATTGAAAAACGAGCATAAGGTGGATTCGTCGTAAGAACGACGACCACGATGGCAGATGAGAAATGAACAGAATGAATTATAGTGGAAAAGTCGTGAATATGAAATAAGCGCATGTGTTGATTAAATTATTTGCCAATTGCAATTATCACGCCAACAAGTGCGATCAGAATGCCATTTCATTACACAAACTTAAATCGCACATAAACGAGTTCTTTAGTACAGTAAACAGAATGACGGATGCAAGAATATATCTTCAATTGACTTTGGTTGTTTTTTTGATTTTGAGCGAGAAAAACGTTTGGATATTGTTTGGGCGACATGAACGATGATTCTTCATATGAAATATTGCAATCGCATGTTTTATTACCTAACTGCTTTTATGCGTGTTAAATCATGAATAAAACCCAATAAAATTAATCATACCAAATTATTGCGTCGAGAAAGAGAGATAGAGAGAGAGAGAAAAAGAGGCTTGTGTATTGCACATTAAATATGCAATATTTTAAATTTTTCGGTACTTTTTCTGTAATTCGCACTAGCATTGCACGCCCATAGAATATAAAATACACAAAAAACGTAATAAATTGACATGTGCGGCAGTGCTGTGTGCATTGCGATTAGTAAAATTTATTTCACGATAAGCTCCAGTGGAGTATGCGCTCATCGCGCAAACGCATTAAGAAAAATGTATATACAATTCATTTACACATTTGGCCTGAGCAACCGGTGATCTTTTCTTCTTTTTTTATGTGATGCAGTTTGAGATTATCATATATTTTTTGTACGCCAATAAATTCTCTTTTATTAGCAATTTATCATCGAGAGGTATGTCTTGAATTCGCAAATGGACGCACGAGCGCATATGAATTATCTCTATTTAATCCGTACAATACAAGACGAATTTGAATTATTCGATTCCGCACACACCGGGTGAGAGAGAGAGCAAGAGCGAGAGGTATTGCCAAAGTTATACTGAAATTTAGCACAATGGTTGCTTGGTTTGCAGCTCACGCCGCGTCATCTGATTACTTTATCAAAATTGAAATACACATACATTTGCATTTGAGATTAAGAGAATAATCGTGTTCAAAACCGGTGTGCATGCAACTACAAGAATTTATCAATTGGTCTCATTTCGGTCAGGGAGCAACATAAATCATCCATTTCAAATGTTATATTGTTATTGAATATTCAATTATACTCTATGAATCAACACGGTTAATCGGTTAATTTATGGACGTTTCTTTCTACACATTCCATACAAATCTCGAATATTTTCCATGTTCTTTTTTTTTGCGATTTTGGAATTTAACATATTTCGTAACCGAATAGTGTTTTATGGTGTTGAATGATCTTTTGGCACCGTTGACAATTAATTCAATGGGCAATATGACAATACGCCGCTATCTAACAATAAAATCGATTTCTTTTGATATAACACACACACATTCAATAAATCAACGCAATTGATCAATAACGAAATTGGAAAAATTGTGTCTCGAAATGGGCTGGAGAATAGACTACAAAAAATGTGTGCGTGTTGTGTACTTGTGTCGTGACTTAAGACACGCTTGACTCTCGTCGTCGTTTTTCATTTGAATGTTATGCAATATACAAGAGAGTTTTAATATTACCGCATATACGAGAGATGGTGGTCAACAATATTCGAATTTAATGCGTTTTGATTTTTCGTGGGTCGCTGTCGTTGGAATCACCTTTACGCCTATTTTTGATTTAAAAGTCAAATGATGTGTACGGCATGGAAGCTATTTCGTTGATTAAATCGACACATTTTATTCATTGGACTGTGACATTATTCAATTCCATTCAAAATGACATGTCTATTTGACAGCGAATCTGCTCTGGTCACCTCAAAAACTCATCAAAGAACGCTAATTATTGACCGATCAATCAAAATGAGAAATTGGATGAAAAAAAAGAATATCATTAAACCTATTCCGTTGGACGACTGCTCATTCGACGAAATTCAGTTGAATTAGTGAATATGGAAGAGTTTGAATCGATTTTCTTCGAAACATTGTACGATTTGAAATGTTTTGATTTCCAATGTTTTGAATTTGAGTGGGTATTCAAAAGATATTTCTTTTTTGGTTTTTTGACATGTTTTGTTTTCATTGGAACTCTAAAGAGCCTCCAAAAAAATATTTCAACTTAAGATCGACAAAGAAAGTCAATCGTATTTAATTAGTTCGTTAATGAGACAAGAAGTTCGGCCATATAAATGGTTATCGTTTAACTTTTTTAAATTTTATAAGATCGGACATCATTCACGATACACTATAACTATGAGATAGATTTTATCTCTTTTTCAGGCATTCAGAAAAACTTCTTTCTAAATAGGCATTCGGGTGAATGTATGTGGATGGTTATCCACTTATAAAATCTGTCTCTACTCTCTCTCTAATACAGAGATTATTGCTAATAATTTGTTGGTGCAACAAATTCAAAATAAATCAAAATCTTTTTGAAGAAAATGAATTATCCCATCGTATAAACCGGTCAACTTTTCTTTTACCCAAATAACTGTATGGCACACATTGGAATTAAGTGTGTACGTGTTCGAAATAAAATGAACTTTTCATTTTAATTGACGCGATAGAAAATTGTAGTATCGGTTATGAATGTGTCGCAAGCCTCTAGACGACATATCTTAATTTTTTCTTGTTTGATTCGTTTCTTTGTATTCAGCGAAATCAAATGAAAAGTTGTCACCGCATTGCACCGGTTTCAGTTCATAATTCAATAAAAAAATTTCCTCAATCTGTTCAAAATACCTGAGTTATATATCATTGCACGATCGCACCGCCAATGATACATTTCACTGGCAATAAAGGAAATAAAATCGAAAATTCGCTTTAAATGACAGTTACATATTTATATGCAATAATGACAACTTTGGAAATTATGTTTGGCTTGTTTCACTGTTGGTATGTGCGCACAATTCGAATTACAGAGAGCTAACATTACATATAACATGTTCAGTACATGCTGGGCGCGTGCGCGTCTTTATGCCATTGACTCTTTTGACTGCATTCCAGCTGTCTATTCTAATTATGTTTTTATAAATTGCCAATCCATGAAAAAATGTCGTAAAAACTTTGTCACACATTGATTTTACATTGCAATAAAATTCCTTGGATTTGTGTGTTAGCCGATAAAAAGTATAAATATATATATCGTTTGATTTACGACATCGACTATTATTATTATGTTTCATTTCTCCCCTTTTTTCCTGTTTCCAACGAGTTTGTAGCCCGTACGTGTATGCAAACTTTCAATTTATTCGGCTGTTTGTTTAGGTCACAATTAAAACCACATTTCATAGTTGAAATGAAAACCAATTGTAGGTACATTGCTAGACACTGCTTATGTCATCCAACGTTTTACATCGTGGAAAAAAGGGCACACTTTATTATTATATCATATTGGCTGCATCAAAATCCGATTATTTGAGTCATTCATCATAAATTTGCGTGAAATTAATCGAAACGTGGCTTCATCGTCGCCACAATTAAATTAAAACCAAAGGTATGCAGTCAAATATGCACAGTGTGTGTGAGTAAGAGTGTCTTTTTCTCTTCTGATCAACAAAGATGATCGATGGACCAATCCAATTATCTAATCCCAATGCAAAGCCACCATGCCATTTTGTGTCGTAAATAGAAAACTGAAAATTAACTTGAGATGTCCAAAGATCGAAATAAATGACCATAGGGAGATGGTATTTTATGACCTTGTACAATGATTTGCATGACAGTATTTAGCAGCGGGAACGAAACGAGATAGAAAATGATCGTAAAAAAGTTTTGTTTGTTTTTTTTAATGCGTTTGAATGAGTATTTAAGAAAATTTATGCCTTTGATCAAAACTACACAGAAAAAAATTTATGCTCGAACGGTTGTTTCAAAAAAAAAAAAAACTTCAAATAAGCCTCGCTCGTTAATTGATCAATCTTGTGTGTTCGGTTAAATTGATCGGTATTTGATTTTAGCGGTAATGATTGAATTGCCACTTTTTTCACTTTCTAGTTTTGTCGCCGCCAATTTATTTTTTTATTTTTTTGATGGAACCGGCAATTTTGTTTATTATCAAACAAATAATTTACACAGGTGTGAATCTCGCGTATACAGTGTTTTCAAACACCTTCATTTCATTTTATTGCGCAGTTATTTTTTATTCACAAATTCCTATTTTGGCGGCATCACATTTTGTAGTGAAATCGCTAAGACTACGACTACGGCTAAATATGATGCAAACTGTCTTGCATCGGTCATTATATGGTGACATCGTTTTTTTCCGTATTTTCAGTAGTCGTAATTTGTTAGCGCATAAATTTTGTGAAAACTCCCCCGCATTATTATGATTTCAAGTAAATTTTATTGTCTAAACATAAAAATTATATCATGCTGATCAAAGGGGAAAGAGAGAAAAATCGACAAAGTATTTCAATTCAAAAAGAGTTTGGTTTGTTTGTTCTACCAGTTTGTAGTATCAGGTCATAAATTGATTTTTATTGGTGAAAATATTTTTACGACATTTTTTTTCTCCCCCCTTCTCTCTCTATTTTTCCAATTTTAATTCCTCAAATAGTCATTAAAATACTGATTTCATATTGAAATTTCTTACGTTTCGCTTTTTTTTTTTTCATTTTCAGGTCCGTGATTTGGTAGAGAAATGTACGTGCCCATCACAGTTTCCAATGGTTCGTGTATCGGAGGGAAAATATCGTATTGGCGATACAAAAGTGCTGATTTTTGTTCGTGTAAGTTCTTCTTGAATTTTAAATAATCTTCTAACTTTGATGAAAACTTGTTCTTATTTTTACGATGCATGATAGCATCCGCAATATAATTTTGAATTTAGTCGCTTCAAGTGATATGATCTCGACGGCTGGTTTCCAATTAAAATTACAAGTTGATTCAAAATTTATGGCAAAAAAATATGCATATACTGGCAATGTTTTCGTGAAAAGGATGTTCAGCTAGAAAAGCGACTAAAAAACTGAAAACGAAATTCTCCGCTTGAGTTCAAAAGACCTCCCTATAGAGCTGAGCGAGAAATTTAATTCGAGAGCGGTAAAAACAACATTCACTGATAAACGATCATGAATTATGGCACTAAAATCTACTGTGTGTATGCAACGGTGACGGCGCCCACTTTCATGGCACGTGAAATACGAAAATTAGTACGATTTACGCGATAAATAATGCATCACACATAATTATTCCGGCATTTGACCGCGTGCAACAGAAATCAATTTGCCAGCAATGCGCATTTCATTTTCAAAATGATACAAATTAAAATGCATTATCATCAAATGGGATATGCCTATCATAAATTGAATATGTTGCAATTTGGCATCGATTAGGTGCATATGTGAAGAATACACTTCGATGTCGACTGTTTTACGCCTCACCGTAAATAGCAATTTGTCGTTTTTTTTATCTTTCATATGGAAAATTGAAACTAAAACAACGATTTGTTATTGAATATCTAAAACATGTTATCTTCACTTCTGGCTGTACTATAATTTGTATCGTTTACGCTTTAGCATTTGCCATATCGAGTGATTAAAGCAGAAGCTTCAAAATAAAAACCGATATTGAAAAAAAAAACATACCTATCTTTGACTTATCTGTTAACCGTGCGCTCCGATGCGCAATTCAAACAAACTGTGTTCGACAGTTTTTTCCTCTGCAGTCAACATTAGCGTAACTAGTGTGAATGGTAAATAGTCGGAGTGTAGCTTTTAAATTGAATTTAATTTGAGCATATTCGTTTGTGATGCGATCGCGTTTCTGTAAACAGACCGTCATCATGAAGCACAAGCGATCGACACACGATGAACTGGCCACCGATGAACAGCACCGTCGACTTGAACGGTAGACGGATTACCGCAAATAATGTATAATAATAACAATGAATTGAAAACCTTAAGCACCGATCATGATCGATACGTGCCGTTTTATTATTATTTTTTATTTACCACTGAATGAAGAAATGATGAGCGATCATTGGGCTTTCGCCCAAGAGACCAAAAGATCCGTTAAACAACGTGTGGTTAATGCTGATTGATAATAATTGATTGTTGATCGTTGTTCATGTTAATTGTTTTTGGTGCTGCTTGTTCCGTCACTCAACATGTGGCCGATCAGCCCGTCTATCGCACCGAAAACAAAACAAATGCTATGTTTAACATCGATGTAAATGCAAATGCGCGAACGACAACAAAATGCCGAATAACCAATTTAGCATGCAAATTTTGTGCAGTTGCTTGATTACAGTTGTTGTTTTTCTCCTCTTCTCTCAACTGAGACGACATTTTTTTTTGGAATTGTGAACGCAATGTAGTACGTATACTTTTCATGTGTGCCGACTATTCTTGTGTTTCTTTTTTTCGCCTGTGAAAGTCCGTTTAAAGCAATTACTATCGAGATTTTTCACATCAAACACAGAGTAGACGGTACCAGTGCTCAGAACAGTCAATTTTGTTGCATAATGAATTTGCTTTGAAATTCTCAACATATGCGTACGCCATTCAAAACGGCATGAAATAATTGAAATTCTTCTTGATTCCGAATTTTTCCGTCTTTCGAAATTGGTCATGTTGTAGAGAATTTCAGAGAGAAAATAAACAACAACAACACAGAGTTCATAAACTGTTTGCAGTATAATTCCAAACGACGGACATCGTGTAAATTCTGAAGACGTAAAACATTGTATTTTTCTAAATATGTGCATATTTATAAATAGACTCGGTTTTTTCTAAATACGTCTCACACATAAAAAAATGCCAACCAATTCCGTTTCTACATCTCATCGCACCGCAGAACTTGCATTCAATCTGAAACTGAATTCGATATTCTTACATTTGGTTTTGCTTTTGAATTGCCCAACAGTGACTGATTTACCGGAATGGTTCTTTTTTTCGCTCCATTTGCCGTTTGTTTTGATTCAAAAATGGAAAAAACGTTTGTTTGGTGTTTGTGTTTAGTTGTCTCAAATGTTTATTCAATATATATTTTTTTCGATCGCTGGTGTTGGTGTTGAGTTTTCTGAAATCAATTTGTTCAATCGTAACAAAAAAAAATAGAGAAAATCATAGTGTGCCGTTTTTATTTACTTTTTCCTGTAAATCAGTGAATTTTTCATTGGCTTTTATGTCTTCATTAGCAATCGAACGTACAAGGAGTGAAAAACAGAAAAACAAAATCCAACTTGGATTATCCAACGACGACGAATGTTCGTTTTACCGCTCAATTTAGTAAAAAAAAAGAGTGATTAAATGATTCAAAATCGGCAAATGAAATACGACGGCGGTTTAGTTGTAGCAACTTGCATGCAGTTCAAAAGCCACATGTTTTTAGTAACTGTTTTGCGTTTATCGTACGACACCATCACCGTGCGCCTAACAACGACGAATTCACAGTCACCAGGCTGCCGATTGCTACAAAAATCGGTCGTTTTTACATGATCTTGAGCAATTTGCACGAGGTTTCGTTTGAAAATCGAATTAAATTGAATCGTTGGCTCGCCAATCGTGTTAATTAAATGTGATTTATAAGAATTCAGTGGCATCGATGTCGAAAAAATCGTCTATGTTTCCTTCTTTTTTGGGATACACATTACGAAATGTCGATTTCCAAATGCACCACAATCACGCGTGAAACAATGGAAAATATGCGCGCCGCTTTACTAGACTTCTACACTAATTAGATTTGCAATGATATTTTTAGCGCCAAAGAAAACTAAGACGAACACAAACCAAAGAAATACCAAGAAAATAAAAGAAAAATTCATGCGAAATGCATCGAATTCCGTTAAAAAAAAATAGAGACACTATCACTGCCGTTGTTTAAGGTAATCACGACTTTTAATTAAAATACCTCAATGGCGTTGTCGCGGTGTGCAAACACTTTTCATTGAACGCGCACATACAAAATTTCCGATTTCATTTCGTGAAAGCGAAAATAGATAGCAAACAAAAAGAGGCTAAATATTGAAATGCAGTATTAACCTTTTGAACAAAAAAAGGTAAATAAACACAAAGAATTCATTGATTTTGTAATAGCACTCATTAATTCACTGCTCTATCGGAAATCTTTGTGCTGGAGACAATATTTCACATTTGCTGCATTTGATCGGCAGCAAAATGATAAGAAAAATATGCAACTCTACAAGATCAATTTTCGAATCATAGTTGATCATGACATCTTCGACGCGATTCGTAGATGATCATTGGATCATATGTCTGTTGGGAGAAAACCGCAATCGAAGGGATCGCCTTACACAGCAACATCGTTTTGTAGTTGTTAGGTTTATTTGAGCGCAATAAAAGAATATTGTAGCATCACATATTGTCTCGTCAATGTGGCGCCTAGAATAACACTTCGCATTTGATTTATCACTTTATGGAACAACATTCTGGATTCTTTAGCGCATCACTTTTTTGTCATTTGGATTTTATTCCGTTTCCATTTACAATAACTTTTTTGTTTGTTTTTTTCTTCAGATTTTACGATCTCATGTTATGGTTCGCGTTGGTGGTAAGTAATATTTACGAAATGTTCGCTTCTTTAAACATTTTTTTTTCATTAGATGTGCTAATTTTTTTTTATAATTTGTGTGAACTTGAAAGGCTTGAACTTTATTCATTATTCTAATTATAACTTGTCATTTCAAATTGCTCAGGTGGATGGGATACTTTATCACATTATTTGGACAAACACGATCCATGTCGATGCCGTGCTCAGCATCGAACATCTGTTGCAGCTCGTATCATAACGCGTACGAATCAGGCAACTAACGGCATTGAATTGCACAAGGCTCAAGTGTTCTTCGAGAGGTAAGAAACCCGTTTTCAAAATCATTTCAGCAAATTGCCCATAGCACCCGAATTGAAAATTTGTTACGAAACATAATCGATTTATCGATCGATTAGTCATATAATGAATTGACTATTTCTTCAGAGAAAAAAAACCGTTTTGAGTGTTACACGTTTATTTTTGGTGTTAACGCTTGATCATGATGTTCAAATACACGATATTTTGCGATCACAATCGCAATTTGCACATTATAACTGAGTTGCTTGGAATAGACAAAAAAAACGCTGTCGATAAAATCAAAGATGAAATAGAAAGAGTGAAAAAATGCAACAGCAGCTCCGATGCAACGGCATTTATGAATTTGTACAACTACTACCGGCAATCGACATCTTTCAGCCCAAAATGGTTAATGGAATACAATGTTAAACATGATCGTGAACAGAATTACAGCCATTTGCAGAGTGTCTGTCGATGGTTTTTTTTATTCAGTGCAAATAGTTAACGTTTCACTGTTGCTTTTATGTTTCAAATGACTGAAAAAATATATATATGGCTTGGCACACGAACAGACACTGATTCTGTTCTTTATGCGACTAAGCGAAACTGTCAATGTTTTGACTTCAAGCATAAAACATTAACGCCACTCAACAAAGTGGAGAAAAAACGTTGAAAAATTCTTTGTAATTTATAGCCACCGTGAACAGTAATGACTCTTGTTTTTTACTTTGCGGAAATTCTATTTTTATGTCCGTGTGCGTATGTTGTCTGACATGGACATTGTACAAACAACTTGAGCTGAAATGATTTGAAATTACATGTTTCATTTATATTAACTGTCTGTTTTCTCCGTTCATCTTTATCGTAAAATAGGTCGCCACCATCGGCTCGCAAAGCATTGAATGGTAATTCGGGATCATCGAATAATGCAACATCACCGGTTACAGCCAATTTAAATTCACTCTCGCCACAGTCTGGCCAATCGGCCGGTCGAAATCGAAGCCGAAGCCCAACACCAAATCAACCGAAGAACACAACTTTAACTACTGAACAGTTACAGGTAGTCAATTTTTTTTTTTACTTTGCCACTATTTGTTCCATATTTCCATTTTCATCGACATCACGTTTAGCGCTTATTTATGGCAAATGCTATACAATGTGATTGTTAGTTTGATCGCCAACGAGCAAAACAAACCAATTAAATTTCTCATCATAAACAATTCTTTATTACGTTTTGCAATTAACAACAACATCAATCGCACATGGTTTTAATGTGCGACAATCGTGTTCTTTGGAATATTAATGCACACTGACAAACATCAGAAACGCCTTTCAAAATCGAGATAGAGAGACAGAGAGAAAGAGGAAAAGAGAAGAAGAAGAAAAAATGCACTCGTTTTGTTGATTACAATTATGAAGTCAAATAAATTGTTTTAATGCACACAGATTATAATAGAAGTGATTAACAAGAATAAAAGCGTGAATGAATTAACGTTACTTGCATTCACCGCACTTATCATACACGCGTATCTCATTTGTAATTTGCACTCGATGCTTGTACATGAGGTTGATTGCGCTTTTTTCTTCTTTTCTTTTGCTCTTTATTAAAATTGATCGGTTGGCTCGATTGATAAGTGTCCATCAATTAACACCCGGTTTGATTACAAAACAAGTATTACACTTACTTTGCAATCATGCGCAATAATCGATTACCCGATTGGATTTACATTTAGAGCGCCTTGGTTTTAATCAATCCATAGATCTAATATCGTCATGGCAAACTAATTGATTTTTTCACTCCGTTTTTAATGCATAGCACATTAATTTTATGGTTTATTTTCCAATTTTAGTCAACGGAAAAGATATTGTTGGCATCACCAAACGTGCAACGACGTTCAATGTCGCCAAGTCCACGTCGATTGGGCGATCTAAAAAGCAAAAAACAAACATCGTTCGATTCAAATGCTGGTACAACAGCTACCACTACAAACACGACCAACACCACCACAGAAGCTGAAACAACGAAATTGAGCGAAACCAATGGCGGCGCAAATGGAACAACTGATAGCGGCGGTAAATTTGAAAATATTAGCGACAACGGAAGTGAAATCAGTGACGAAGGATATCGAAGCTTAGGTCTTATTCAACAGGCCAATAATAATCAATCGAAACGGGCATCATTGCATAGCCAAACATCGCTTGAAGATGGTAAAATAGATGACGCGAAAACTAGTGGTACGTTTTAATCCAAAAATGATGTTTTTTTTCCTTTGATCAATTTTACTTTTATTCGTTGGTTTCATTTTAATTTATTACTATAAGTGTTTGAACTCAAAAATTACAAGTAGATTTATCCATGGAATTGATTCCATCAAATGTCAATGTATCTATTGTAATATTTGTCTTGGTGATTTTTTTTCTCTTCCTTCGGCAGTGCGTCTCATCGATCAAACCTCAAGCGATTCACAATGTTCACCAACCGATGAACTAAGCTCGAAAGGTACAGCGGCCGATTTGATTGAAACAATTGAATCGAGTCCAGTGGATATACCAGATGCAACATTGACCACAGAAGAAACCGTAGACCCAAAGCCATTTGAAGAAGCTGGCGTTTTTATAACAGATGATGAAATCACCGTTGATGTATCCAACACAACTGGATTACGGAAAACTGGCTTTTCTGATGATTTATATAGTGATAGTTTAACGAAAAAGACATTTAGCAAAATTCCACGTTCGCCAATGACGCGCCGCAAGAGCATTGACAGTTGTTCGATCAACAGTGATAATGCAACAAATACAGGATTACCAATATTATCACGAAAAATGCCCGTATATCGTTCAGTTCGAAAATCATCATCGCCAAACATTGAATTGAATGCAATGACCACGGATAAAGTGGCCACAACATCACCGAAAAAGGATAATAACATCGGTACATGGAATGGACGTTCAGTAAGTACAACAAAAAAACGTCCAACCGTTGGTACGGAATCATTTACACCGCTATCAAATAAAAATAGCGGTAGTACATCGAATTTAAGTCAAAAAGGAACAACACCGTTCCAACGAAATTCAGAAAGTCGCATTTCACGTTGTCAATACGATCAAAATGGTCGTCGCATTGTGAAATCGACAAATACATCGCCGGTAAAACAATCCACATCGCCGCTTGCTCAGCAAATCCTTGAGGCGGCCGAAAGTGCGAAGAACGATACACAAATGTTGGAAAAAATGAAATTACTGCTAAGTAAGTATACGGTAAATAAAACCGGCAGTAAATCAAGTGGATCATCGAATCGAAGTCGTTCGACAGCAACACCATCACCGGTTAAAAATAAAGACGAATTCGAAGATTTTACCACGGCTTGGGTGAACTCGAATGGTTCATTGGATCGTGCAAGTAATTGCTGTGCACCAAATAAAGCACATTCGAAACGAAGTTCGGCTGCCTCGTCGTGCGACAGTACTGCATATGGTAAAGGTGACATTCATGTATCGAATAGACGTGATCGCGGTGTTTCACGCATTCCCGCACCAATTCGACAAAATACAGAGCTTTATTGACGTTTAAGTCACTTTTAAGTTTTATTCAATTTACGTTCATTTTTAATTGGATTGCATCTTTTGTTTTATACTTTCTTAGTGTTTTAAGAGTTTCTTCGTTTGATTTAATCGTCTATGGTACGATTTATTTTTTATTTAAACATATAAAAAAACAAACTACTGGAAATATTTTCCCCATTTGAAAATTGCTTTGATGGCAATTATGCTTTCATTGAAGCTTTATCGAGAATTTATATTGACCATTTATTCATTTTTAGTTGTCGTTTTTTTTTTAAATTATTATTTTTAATTTGTTCGTATGTTCTTTACATACAAGAAGCTATGATAATATTAATAAAATCAATAGTCTCGCTTGAAATATTCACATTGGTTAGATGGAACTAACTAAAAAAGCAAGCAATAAAAAAGACAGTTTTTATTTGAAAACAACAATCGAAAAAAAAAAACAATACTCATTACGCAACATTTGAACCCTATAGCCTTCCAAACACATCTTATTCACTTTTTTCTCCTTCGTTCTTTTTCTATCATTTTTTTTTTTTTATTTAGAGAATAGAATTCATACTAAAAACAAAATATATTTCACGCATAAGTTTTTTATAGTCTCTCATTGAAGCATATAGATGAGATAGAATGAAAGGAATTCAAACATATTTTTGTAGAAATTGCAATTAGGTATTAGTGTCTATGAAAATTTGACTTTTGATCAAAGCGAAATATAATAAACGCGAAAAAAAAACTATATATATTTATGCACTCTTTTCAACCAAAACACACGTAATCGTCAATCTATAGATCGAATGGTGAAAGAGCCATTGTTTAAAAACTTTTACGTTTTAAAATACGCTAGACTTTTGTATGTCACAAACTACATGTATGTAGAAAATAATAGAAATGAAGAGCCTATATCGAGCCTTTCCTCTAAAATAAAAACAAAAAAAGCCACATTGAGAATATCTCGACGGTAGTCAACTAATAATAAAAAAAATAAAATTTTGTTCCATAAAGTTATATAATACAATTACATCGTTAATATAGCAGTAAACATGATGGGCTTTTTTCGCTTGTGTGTGTATGTGTTTATGTTATCAATTCAGATGCAGAGTGCAAAGGTAAAGTACACTTGTTTTGTTGTACACCGAGTTCACGATGCAGCCAGATCACATAGATCTTTTATCGATTCCGCAGCATGCCTGCGGTGTAAGTGTGTTTCTTCATTTTATTCTTCTTCTTTGTTTCAATTCACATATCATTTGCTCTATCATGCAATTCGTTTCTGTATTTTATGTGAAACATGTTCATTTATTACTCGATGGAGCTTCTCACTTTTTTTTCTCTTACCATTTTCTCCAATTGACATATATTGTATGTTTATGTAATCTGGCTATTGACGCATTTTGGACATATACACACATACGCGGACCACAATCGACGGGAGATTAACCTGACTACCGTCATTTCGGACTTCTTGGGAACTGAAAAACCAACATGTTTATTACGAACATAAAAGATTACACGGTTTTATTTTTCATTCAAATACAAGAATGAAATCATTTTCATTACATTTACATCCATAAATATTGATTTAAAGAGTTTCAACATGATTTACAACCGTTAAATGTGTATATTGAATTTATTTTTTCAACAATTATCGAGGCAATAAAAAAAATGTAATATGATTGGAGGTTTTTGCAAAACGACGATGAACGTAGTGGAAAGGGCACACTAGAATATGAGCATGATCAAAGAATGACAATGTTTATTGCTTGAAATCAAATTGGTGCTAAAGTTTTTTTTAAACAAAAATATGCAAATTAGTTAGGCTGAATCAATTGAAAGCTATATTAATTTCAAGTTTTTTTTTTGGTTTGCATACTGCTTCGAATCTAAATTAAATAATAAAAAAGAAGAAGAATTAATAATTTTGTTAACTGTTAACAAAATGGGATGGGGCCTTCTATCAGTCTCTGTTTCACATTTTTGTTTAGTTGAAAGAGTCTATAGCATTTTTTATGGAGGATCACGCGTAGAATTACGAGAAATGTTTATTGATTAAAACGGAATGTTAAGTGAAAAGACTAAGATATTGTTAGTGTTTTTTTGTAGGCTAGGCCAGATGCAACTTTTTTTATCCACAATTTTTGATTCAAAACGACTGAAAAAAAAATGAAAGAAGTGACCAATTTCGAATTCGAAAGACAGTGCAATAGAAATTTATACGGAATATAAAAATTTAATTAAAGAAAGGTAAGAAATCTCCTGAATTCCTCGCACTTTGAAAACATATAGAATTGAACCGAATTCGACAAAAATTGCTTTAATATTTTTTTTATGTTTAAAACATTTTTCATTTAGCTTAAGTTCATTGTGTGAAACAAATTGTACTATGTTTCACTTTCAATAAATACACTTTATTTAACGTTTTTATTTATAAGCAGAAAAAAATACACATTTATATTGATGGAATTCATCCCGAGAAATAAACACATATATTTCATGTAAACTTTGATAGATCATGAATAAAAAAAGAACCATATTTAACCACAACCAAACATTGATGGTGTTTCATTGAACTGAACTTAGATTTTTCAGCATTAATGATTCGAATTTGAACTATAATCTTGTACAATACATAACTAGACAAGTAATATCCAGCTGATGATACAGTAAGTATGAAAACGTAAGTTTTTATACGTGAAAAAAAAAATTCTGAGAAAACCGCAGCCAAAATCTTGAAACACTCAAACTCAATCTCGATACCTCTTTTAATAATGGTTTTAGCCATCTGGTGGCGCATAGACATACTTTTCGTTAACAAAGCATTCACACAGAGCATTTAAGTAATGTTAAAGTCGTATACTTAATCAAAATGGGTTGCGTCTCAACTAAAAACGTTCGGTTATTAATTCAGAGATTGTGACAACAATTTATAAGTTTCTTTTTTATATGAATAGTTTTTCTGTCTTGAAAAGATTATTTCAGATTGAATGAAACCACAATACAACTGGCTAATGATTGCTTTGACATTGCAAGATACTATTTTTATACAGAATCCCTCAACAAAAAGAGGTGTAATTAAGAATCATGTTTGTGATATTTCATCGACATTTAAACTATATTCCATAGCGTTAATGAAATGTATTAGAGTAAATGCCATAACAGCTGATTTAATATTTACACCTACGAACGTACAATACACACAAAGTGCGTTAATCGTCATAAAAAATCTGCTGTCATAGATTTAAGAAGAAGAGAAAATAAACAAATGAATTTAACTCAATTCATAGTAAGTGGATCTCATACGAACGACGTTGTTGTTGTTTTTTTTTGTGTGTGTGACGGACAGTTTATATCGCACATTGAATAGCGGAACAACTTATCACAGCTTACGTTTATCTCACCAGTGCGAATATGAAATAATTTGACATTTGATATTTGTGAAACGATTTATCTTAAACAAGTGTCGGGGTCGCATGCACTTTACATCTACATTTTTTACTTCAAATCTACATTTTTTTACCACGTACATGATAACAGTCGTTCAAATATTTCACAACAAAACTGGTTGCTACTGACTTACATAAAATAGTTTACTGTGTGAAATGAAAACTTAAAGTCGGAACTAATATTTTAGTGACACTCATTGAAGTTTTTTTTTTCAAGTTTAATAAAAAGTTTGTTCATTTAACTCAAGTTATAGTTGGAACTATTCAATTAAGTTTTTCAATTAAATAATAATAATTTGTTAATTGCGAAGGTGGTAATCGACCAAATCACACATGTTGAAATCAATGCATGTCATAATTGGAAGAATGATGCAATTAAAACTGTTGTGCTTAGTTATTTTTACTCTGATAATTCAGTGTAATGCGGGTATGACGTATTATTTATTCGAAATTTCCATCCTCAAAACATTGATATACATATTTCAAATTAACGTAATTTCGGTTTCAGATGCGGTTGACAATGAAATTTCAGAACTATCTGAGCGTTTATTTGATGCAAGCACCCCGAACATATTGAGTCGAGTTAAGGTTAATCTTCAGGGAAGAACCACAAGTTCGGCACTAACAGACGAAGCACCAGCACCGTATGACAGCACAATTTTTTTTCTGTCGATGTTTTGATAGTCAAATTAATAATTATTATTTTATGCAGCCTTTTGACTGTAAGCAATGCATCATTGTCTGGCATAGCGACAATTGTAAAAATGCGAGCTCTTTGGGATAATTATGAAGCAAATACGATGACCGTTGAAAATGTCACACCGTCCGAGCTTAGAGAAGAGGATGAATTCATTGACGAAGTTTTAGACACAGCTGTTATGAAGATGGCCATGACCTACCTTCAGCAGAAAGGTTTCAATTTAATTTCAAATAACTAAAAAGCTTGTCTTTTTTTATGTTTCTGATCATTTCACTTTCATTTGCAAAGGTTCTGTACGATCGGATCGTGCGAGTCAGAAAAATCTACTGAAAACCCTTTGGTTCACGTTGTATTCTAGAGGCGGTGGTAAGGTTGGAAGTTGTGCATTTGAGCATGTTTTTATGAACGAAATTAAGGGCAATGAAATTTCTGGCTTGCACAATTGGATTTATTTTGCCGAAGAAGAAAGAGACAGCCGACAATATTTGGACTACAAAGGATACATGAAATCGCTTCATTTGGGAAATGTAAATTAATTTATCATTTTGCAGTTATTTTAAATAATTTTCAACTTTTTTCAATTACAGAAAGCACAAATCATTAAATATCGCATGAGCTACAAAAATGAGAGTAAGCCGGTTTCAACAATGTTTATTGGTACGCTACCCGAACTAGAAATGGCTTTGTATACAGTTTGTCATGAGGCGAAAAAAATACGGTGCGAAATCTCATTGGGCGGAAAGAAAATTGTAATCAGAGTGTATCCGTTTTTCTATCGCGGTAAACGTTTGATTGGCAGTGCTTTTCCACAATTTTAAATGCGATAAGATACTTTTAAGTCCAAATAAAAAATATTCTACATATGAATGAAAATAATATAACTGCAGTTCATGGAAATTCTTTATTATTGATGCATTCTGCGACGTAATAGTTTATTGCTACGTGGATGCTACGACTCCTCTTTAGGACATGCGGTAACTGGAGTTTATCTTCTTCAAATGAACAATAAGTCCGTTATCATATCAATTGACACATACTGATTTAGTTTGATTTATATATATTTACAGGGCTGTAAAATTTGATTTTTTTTTTTTAAATTACGGTATGGTATCTCTACATTTTTTAGAATATAAAAAATGGAAAAAAAATGTAATTTTTTGATTTTTTCGACGCATAACATATGATATCTCCAATCCATAACTTTATTATCTATTCTATTTTCTCTTCTTCTTCTTCTTCTTCTATCTTCTTTCTTCTATATCTATAAATCAGAAAGTATGTATGTATGTATGTCCGGGGTTTGCGTCCAAACGCCTCAACCGATCCGGATAAAAGTGGTACTGTTGGAAAGGTCTCGGCCGGGCGGTGAACATAGGCACCATCATGGTCGACCATCGTGGTCTAACACGGTCATTATGGTCAAAAAACCGTATTTTTACCATATTTTGCCTAAATTTTGCACATTTTATTGTCAAAAGGTGAGAATGGACCGTGGTAAACCGTGGTAACCGTGATGGCCGACCATAATGGACCGCGGTAACTGGTTTGAAATGTAAAATTTTGACGATTTAAGCGATTTTAACATCATTTAAAACCATTCAACATGGTAAAAACTGTCAAAACATGATTAACCATGGATTTTGAGGTCGATCATCATGGTAAAACGTGTCAAAACATTGTGAACCATTGCTTTTAACATTGGTCATCCAGCGTCGAAAGTCGCTGAAAATCGTTCGATTTTGATGCTGTTGAATTGGACTCGAATATTGCAAACTAAAGCCGAAATAAACGATCATGAACATAGGCGATGGCGAGGGTTCCTAGGGGTCGGATGACCCCCCCTAAAATATTTTTAGGAACCCTCAACAATTTTGGAAATGAGGACCTTTTTTTTGCTCTTCGCTTTTTTTGGCCGAGAAAATTCTTTCGATTTGCTAGGGATTTTCGCCAAAAAAGTGACTTCAAAAAAAAATAACGATTTTATCCTCATTTCGCACAAATTGTTGACATCGTCAGGGACCCCCCATGGATTTTTCCAGGAACCCCCTACAGAATTTTGCCATCAACCAATCAATTTCCCAATTACCACCAAATGATATTTTGGCTAGTTTTCTGTAATGAAAAAAAAACAACAACAATTTAACAATTCAACTGACATAGTTTTCTTTATTAACCCAGCAATTATATACATACGATTATTGGACAAAACAATTTATTTGAAATGATTCATATGATGTGTTGAACAAATACATTTTTCAATAAACAAAAGTCAGATGACTTTAAATCAAACCGAATTTTTGGACAAAGCGGATGCAACGTCACTGAGGAAGTCTTCAAATTTAATACTACCACCGTTTGAGGAAGCCGTCGTGTCTGCTTTTAATTTATCGGATTTGACTTGCGCATTTTCAATGGCTTTAGGAATCAAATCCAATACAAGTGTACATTTATCATCTACACTGAGCTCTTTGCATAGTTCGGCTACAAAAACTTTAAATGGTGGATTTTTTAAATCAAACAATGGATTCAGCGTATCGATTGTTAATATTGTATCGCCCGGAACAAGGATTGTGATGAGTTTTAAAATTGATTGAAAAAATATTAGAAGAAAATTTTCTTGAAAATCAAACAAATATTTTAGTTCTTGATCGAGCAGATCTTTGACAGCACTGAATATTTCGTTAGTTTTATCAGTTGGCGGCGCGCTGGTTGGTTTTGCAGTAGTGGATGCTGGTTTTGCACTAGCCGCTAGAGTTGCTTCCACACCGATCATCACAATAAATGCGATTTTAATTACCAGCGTGTATTCCATTTTAGACTTATTGTCTACTTTGCACACTATTCAACTGATTCGGTCGCTTCAAAATCATACGATATTTATATCATTTTTTTGCCCACTTGTTGCACGTGTTGGCACATTTTATGTTTCGTTCACGTTTCAACATTAATTCTTGTAAGCACGACAAAGTAACGTCAACAAAACTGCACGTATTTGTCGTGAGATATGACAATTTACATTTGTGGAAAACAAATGACGAAATATAGACTCTTGAAATGAATCGTTGGAGCAAAAAAATTGGGTTAAAAATAAAATAAGAGACATTTTCCATCGCAACAATTCAAAAAGAATGATCTCATTTTTACAATGAAAATAAAATGAAGAGATTTTTTTTAAGGCTATGTGTATTAGAGAGTTACAAACCAGCTCCATTTTGTTCCAGAGATAGTATATCAAACAAAAAAAGCTTGAGATATCGGAATTGTTGCCATTTTTATTCCAAATAAAATACATGTCGAATATATTTTATGAATTGTAAAATTTTGGAAAATCATTAAAATCTGACGGAATATGCATTAACTAAATAATCGCCAAGAACATCAAGTATAGAAATAAATTTTACCGTCTCTGATTTCAATTGTGTTTGCAAGAGTTTCGTAAAAGCATTCGTTTTAATTGTCGCATTGGAAACACGTGTTGGAAGTAATTGCAAAGCAGGGCTATTATTCACTTTGAATAATTTTAGAATTTTACTGATTAAAGTTGAGAGCGTTGGATTCCGTAAAGACTTGACCTGCGTCTCTAGCTCTTTCCGTGACACCTTATTTTTTGGTGGAACTATTTTGTTTTGTACATTTAAAATGTTTTTGAAAACAGCGCTGAGCATAAATTTACTCTTTTTCGAGAAACTGCTCATGGTTGATTCGAGCATTGTTTTGATGGATTTGATTACAACATGAAACAGTTCTGGAGAACGTATTAGTAATTCTGTCGTTCAAAAATTAAATACAATGAATTAAATTCTATGCTTGATATACATTTTAGTAAAATTCATATCTTTCTTACCTTGCGAAAGCCCTAAAGTTTACGAAGATATAAAACAATAGATTTTAGTTAAATAGGTTGAAAGAAGATGAGGTTTTCAAAAAAAAAAAATCTTTAGAAAAATTTACCTGTTGCTATTTTAATGTCTGTTGGCGCTTCTTCGGGTCCATCTAATGACGCTTGCTCATCTAAAAGTTCTATTTCAGTTACTAGACCTTCCGTTACACCCGCCATATTTTCCAAAGATTCAGTATTTATCGGTAGACCTTCCAAAAATGCTCTTTCTGTTTCATGTCCACCCCACGTCACTTCCACCCAAGGAAGATGTTCCAACGAAACTAACAATGAAGGATAATCGCCGTCCAGAGATATTTGTATGGATGTATGCCCCTCAAATGGAATGGTAAAAGGCATACTTCCCGCAAATGAAATTATTACTGATATCAAGGTCACTCTCACAGAAGGCAGACCATCTAAAGATATTTCTACAAATGGGATTCCGCTTGAGAATAATTGTAATGATGGTGAATCTGTCACAGCCGAAGGTAAAATATCTGAACTG